ATATTTTCATCACATAGAAAATGCGAATTCTCAATGTATTTATTTATATATATATATCCATTTTTTCATGTTCATAATTATATCTGAGGATATTCCTTTTCAATACTTTCACCAAATCAGGGGGTTCAAACACTTGAACGATGGAAACTTGTTGTTTTTATATAGACAATCGCAGATTCGTGATTAGGTTTTCTCAATTCAGAATTTCTTCCCACGTCCTGTATGATGAATATCAATCTATCATACATAAAAAAACAAAAACAAAAAAAAAATCATCTTTAAATACTGTCTGTAGGTTAATCGAGGAGGTGGTACATTCATTTTACTTGGTTCTTTGGGATTTTCTCTCGGAGACAATAGCATTGCTTCCTGTTCAGTTGATATTGATAGAACATGGTATTCACTACTGAAAACTGAACATGAAAATGGTAGATTCAAGATCAATTAATGAAAACATCCTGTAACTCATTTGTAGACTAAAATCACTCATTCATATGCCAACATCAGTATGACATTGAAAAGTGTCAAACTATACGCAGCACAACACAAAGAAAAATAATTTGCATTTACATGTTGAGAACGGGAGCAGAATCGGTCCCGAAACGTCCAAAGATAAGTACAAATTCGATATTTTTTCAATATATCTATATTTCTTTCCTTCAAAATTTTTTTCAAACAAATTGTCACTGACAAGCTACTGGATTTTTCTTTTAGACTCCCTGATAGAAAAATTTGTTAAACGCAGTGACATTTTGGGGCAAATCATCTGATTTGTCCCTCTACAAATATATTGAAATAATACGAATACTTTTATTTTATAGAAACGAGGAGAGAAAATCCCAAAGAACCAAGTAAAAAAAATCATCTTTGTTCAATGATTTGCGTTTCTGGAATGAAATAAGGTTCCTAGAACTAGAAGTTGAATTTATTGAAACAGTGGTATTTTGGGAAATACATCAATATGACCGTCCTTCGAATAAATTCATAAAAAACTCAAAAATTTCTTACAGAGTACTATTTTCAATTTGGCAAACTTGTTAATTGTGAAATATAGCATTGAAACCCCCTGAGACCCAACAAAGATATGATATGAGCACACCAGCTTACCTATCTAATGCAAAGTTTGATAAGAACCGATCGTTGATTAGAGAAGGATTAGCGAGGCGGTAAGATGATAGGGGCGGTGTATTTGTGCACGATAAGATGTTTCCAACGCACCTGACAACATATATTCATACACAACACACACATATATATACCTAATACACAAACAGGACACAACACTGTTCTATTCTCCTTGTTCGGAACACGGTGTTTGGATTAGGATTATATATCTTCACATCCGACAGCGACAGAGATGGGTAAAGGTACCTATATACATAATTTGAGAGCATGAGAGTTTTCTTGTCCTACCTACATTTCTTGCGAGGGTTTATTGCACAGAAAAAATACTTCCTTCCACATCTAACCTCAGAAATCACCATTATTCAAGGATTTCCTCTGATGAGCAGTAATACTTTTTTAGCTAGGGAAAAAATGAAAAACTTTCAATCGTGTCAATGATATGCAGTATACACACGTATAGTTACCGATGCCTACGCAAACAATGAAAATTGAAACATTCATTATTTATATACCTAACCGTAAATCAGATATAGTTAAGACTGCGAACTTCACTAGAGCTCACTAATAGCTCACTTTCTCACCCTACAGGTGTATATTAGAATTCACACATTCACACTGTAAAAGGTTTTCGAACATCATTATGAAACCTAAATATTGTCTAAAGGTTAATCGAGGCGGTGGAATACTCATTTCACCAGATTTTTCAGGATTTTCTCTCTTCGTATACGTGTATAGTAAGGACAAATCAGATGATTTGCCCCAAAATGTCACTGCGTTTAAAAAAGGCCCCATTAAAAGGACAAAAATCAAGCAACTGTCAGTTCTGATACTTTGTTCAAAAAGTGGATTGTGTATTCCATCTGGATTGTTTGCTAGTCACTTCAAATGAACAATTCCTAAAAATGCAACAAATCTTGACTTATGTATTACTCAAATTACCTCGTCTTATCTACAAAATTGGAAGAAAAGTAATCGATTATCATTTTAGTAGAGAGGAATCTTCTATAGCAAATATGTGATATCAACCGAATATAACTCCCTTTATAGGTACTTGAGAATCTTCAAGACTACGCATCAGAAAGATACATCATTTCGGTTGAAATTCAATCATCAAGACATTGAGGGTGTATTGTAATGACGGAAGTAGAATTTTTAGTCAAGCTGCTTGATTTAATAAAGTTTTCTTTACAGGATTTTGTCCGTATGCGAATTGTAAACTGCCTATATAAAGTAATCACCACTTCTTAGATCGGTTCTTAATAATCATCAGCAATTTTTCGCGAAAAAGTAACACCACAGCAGAATTCAAAACTGGATAACTTCAAAAACAAAATAATCTCACATATTTTTGAATAACTTGTAGGAACCGTCCCTAAGGGAGGTTCTGAAATGGAGAAGTCACGTGGTTTTCTGGAATATACATATATAATATTTTTATACCTATAATATTCTAATAATTATTCTACATACAGCGTGTCTCATTTCAAGCGGCCCCCTCTCTATCTAAGCTATTATAGTCGTGCAATCTTCACCTAATTTGGACCAGTTTAAATAACTATCATTTCAGAGACGAACATCGTTTTGGAGAGTATTGTGCGTTTTTATTGAAATGAAAATGGGTCAATTTTTCATGAAATCATATTAGGAATTTTTTCCAGAGAAAATGACCACATAATATTGTTCTTCTTGGTTTCAAACCCTCATATGTGAACTTTCATATAATTTCTATGAAAGGTTTAAAGAATCAACATTTTGTATGAATGTAATAGTTATCCACTCGGAAACGGTGAGTCCTACATATAATGGTATTCATTGTTTTTTCTTTCAAATCATGATTTTATATCTACCAGAGCTATTAAACGTTCCAAAATTTTGCAGTTGATTTGAATTCAATATCTTTCTGAGGCTGAAAATTAAAAAAATGAAGCTATTCCTGTTGATTCGAAATGAGATGATTTTCCGCATGATGGGGAACAATAAAATGAAGTAAGTTTCCTCTCATGGAAATTCCTAATATGATTTCATAAAAATCGACCCCTTTCTATTTCAATTAAAAAGCACCGCACCGTCAAAAATGATGTTCGTCTCTGGAAAAGTGATCATATATTGATGGTTATTCATACCGGGCCAAATTTGGTACGAATCGCACGACTAATAACTGAGATATAGAGAAGGGGGAGGCGTTTAAAGTGAGACACGCTGTAGATCCAGTAGTTCAAGTTTGTATATGTTTATGTATCTCGAACATTTTGAAACAAGGCAGGAAAATAGGATTATAGTTCAACAAAATTAAATATATTTCGTCCAAAGAGAGTAAACAATACGAACAATGAATTCAAAATGGGTCTCATTCAGGGTGTTTCAATTGATAGGTTGATTGTGTATGATTATTGTAAGGTAAAAATGCACCCAAGGTGATGAAGGTCATGATTTTGCGAAGAAATGATCGGAATTCGAATGGAATAAAGAAGATTTCATAAAACCAATAATTATGGAATACCATTAATTGGTAACATGTGCATGATGTATGTGAAATAGCAAATGATAGCTGTGATGTTATGACAACCTGAATAAATGCACTACCAAAGGTTTACTATAACAAATGAATGGTCGTTTGAAAAACTAAAGTAACACGCTTCTACAGTGTGACCCACTTCTAATGGAAACACCCCTGTATCTTACCTAATCGTTTGGTAAGGATCCTGAAATTTGCTGGAGCGAGAGATATACCTACCAAAAATGCACTTATGACCAAGTGGGGTCATCTTCAGTGATATCAGGAGTCGAAATAGGTTATTGAAAATCACTCCGGATTCGGAATCAGGACGCCCAATTCACTAACAATTCATAGTTTTACCAGAAAATTTTCAGTTCATAAAAATTAAATTTTGTCTCACTTCTCATGGAAGCACCCCCGTATCTCACGTAATTATTGAGGTAGGGTTCTGAAATTTGCAGGAGGAAGGGAAATTCCAAAGATAAAGTCAATTACGTAAGATACGGGGGTGCTTCTGTAAAAAGTGCGACAAAATTCGATTTTTCAGAACTGAAAATTTTCAAGGGAAAATATGAATAAATAGTGAATTGCATCGGCATCCTGATTCCGAATCTGTAGTGATATTCGACCTATTTTGGCACCTAATATCATTTTCCAGAAATTGGGGTGGATCCATGGCTGTTGGCGAGCAATGTATATCACTGAAGATGACCCCACTTGGTCATAGAGTGCATTTTTGGTATATATCTCGCTCCAGCAAATTTCAGGATCCTTACCCAACGATTACGTAAGATACAGAGGTCGTGTTTCCATTAGAAGTGGGTCACACTGTATATATATAGCAAAACTAAAGTTAAGTAAATAATGAAATAATAAATATTTTTAGTTTCGATAACTATAAAAGCGTGTTACAGTAGTTTTTAAAACTACTATTTATTTTCTATTTTTTAGTTCTGTTAACTGCAAAAGCGTGTCTTTTTGAGTTTGTAAATGTTCTGTAAATACACAATTTTGACGAATGAATCATAATTTCTGACCCCGAAAACCCCCTGATAGGTACTAATGATGCACAATAGAATCGAATCATGCCCACAAATACCGTCCGCCATATTGTATCCGTCATATTGAAATTTCCAATTTTGACGAAAGCATCATAATCTCCTGCCACAAAAACCTTCAGATACCAATTTTGAATAAAATCGGATGATATAATTACAAAACACTTCCACCTCGAATTTATCAGTTTTGACGAAAGAATGACAATCTCCAACCCCGAAAACTGAGAGATTCCAATTTGGAATAGAATCCGATCATAATTACAAACCTCTTCCGCTATGATGGATCCGCCATCTTTTGAACCAGATATCTTTTGTTACAGGTAAAACGAGAACGAAAGACAAATACCGCGTCGTCTACACCGACCACCAGAGGATTGAACTCGAAAAAGAGTTCACTTTCAACAACAAATACATCACCATCAGAAGAAAATCCGAGCTAGCGACGAACCTTGGCCTATCCGAAAGGCAAATCAAAATCTGGTTCCAGAACCGAAGAGCGAAGGAAAGGAAACAGAACAAGAAGCGGGTGGAGGAAAAAACCCACTTGGACATCATTAACAACGGAGTGTACCCCCACAATGTCATGAACCATCAGCATTCGCAGCTTCAAAATTTAGATCTGCACAGTCAGCAGCCTGTTCTACCCAATATGGTTCCTTCCCCATCAGTCGTGATGCAGAGGTTCATGGAGAACAGCCATTCCATGAAGCTAGAAAGTAGTGAGAATGACCAGATAGGTTGACACTCGGAGCTACTATGCATGCTCGAGTGAGACAAAGTTTCGTGATATCAATCTGGACAATCTATGCGAAGAATCTAGAATATTTTTCGAATTTGATATCGTTGGAAACGTCACTTTCAACTTACATGTGTTCGGTTGGTGATAATGATAGTGGCAGTCCCAAGACTTACAGATACTTTCCGTTTTTCTTTGCACTTGTGACCTGATGTTATTTATGATTTTTGCTGTGAATGTGATCAAAAATCGAACAATCTTTGTCATATAAGCTTCTAAATAAGTATATTATGCTCATATGATTCAATAATTGATTCATTATGTTATATAACATTCAAGTACGAACAAGCGGTGATATAATAGTCAAATATTGAAACAAGAAATGAATATTATAATGAAGTCTATTTTCTTTATTGAGTCCGATTCTGTAAATGTCATGCTCACTTACTAACATTGAACATTTTGATTTTAACGGGGTCCGTTGAGGAGTTCTGACGTATATGGATAAACATCAGTGTGTTTAACTTCAAGTGACGACAATTCATTATTTTTTATAACGAGTTGATCAAATTTGGAAAATTTGTTCGATATAGTAATATAGTATATTACGGGAATTATACATCAAAACTCCCATTCTTCATAATATAACCTATTGCGATAACAAATAAGACCCTATATATACTATAATAATAAGTTTTTTTAAATGACATATGCTTTGGGATTTTATTTGTTATGTATCGTCGTGGTGTATGGAAAAATTAGGATTCTATCGAATTAATGCATACTATAGAGTGTGTAGAGCTTTCGCAGTAAAGTATATATATAGTATATTTGGAATATCTGTTTTTTTTTCGAAAATCGAGGGAATCGCTATAAAGTAAGGAATTGTGGCCATTCATACTGAAACACACTGTATCTATTGTGATATTAAAAAAGTTGAGAATAAAAGTCCAATAATTATACAATTAGAGATATAATTCTGATTTTGCCCCTCAATGTATACCTATATACGTTTTCGTAAAGTGTTCATTGCGATAGTATCTTCAATATACACATAATACTTATAAACCAGATGTCAATGATGGATTGAATTAATAAATCTGAAGCCGTTTTTCAAGTGGTGAAACCGGTTCGATATTATACCTTTTCCAGTTGTTTATCACTTATATTACAGAAAGTATCAATGGTATTTCAGAACAGTCACTTGTATTTTATAAAATATTGTATTTGTATTTCATAAAATATTATTTCAACTGAATAACAGATCGCATCAATTATATACACAACTCTTTTTTTCTTGTCCGTTTCTGGTGATATTTCGATCAGATCGTAGATTCATATTTCGTAGTGTTAGCCTGAATTTCAATTCCTAAAAAAATCTGATGGCTTGATCATTATCCAGGGAAAAACAAAAATTATTCTTTCACCCATAACTTCTTGAGGCCCTGTGGCGAAAGTGAGTGATTGAACTTAGCTTCCTCATGTTTTGGATTGAAGTCTGATCCCTTCTTAATAGAATGGTTTCTGATTCACGTTGATATCTTATTTTTAGGAGGAGATACACGTGTTTTAAGAAAGTATGGATGTTTCAAATTTTGTTCAACAATAATTCAGCAGAATTATCTAACCTTCTGCTCCATCATGTTTTATATTGAAGTGGAAGTGTGATCCCTTTTCAACACTTCTCAACAAAATGGTTCTTCATTCACGTCGATATCTTCATTTTCTTTTGGGAACTAAAATGCAGGTTGAGATTTCGTAACAGACGATTTGGTCAGGATTCCACCAGAATCGAACAAGAATTAAAAAAGTTACGGGGCGACCAATTTGACGATTATTTTTGATGGCCAGTTTTTTTGCCGGTGAGTGTATTTCCGAATTTCAGAATTCTCAGGAGAAATTGGTTTATTAATTTGAACAAATCAAGTTCTTCTCACAGAGCTTTATGGAGCAATTAACACTCTATGATGCCTTCTCACATGGAAAATATAATACTTTCTACTTGCAATTAAATCTTGGTATAAGGACATCCAGTATACAAGTTTTGAAGGGGTTTTATCTGCTGGACAGGAGTTCGGCAGGTATAGTTGACATTTTCATTTGAAATTAAAAAAATTCCAAGAATAAAAATCGACCTATTAGGCGGATTTTATTCCATCACAAATTTCCATACCAAATCAACATTTCGAGATAGGTGTATTTACAGAATCGAGACTAATAATGGCTAAAAAACTAATCGAAATCAGTTAGTAAACATTGAAATCGAGAATGTTCCGATGTTTTATGACTAATATATATAGGATGTATCAGAAATTACTTTCCGAGATGTGTTAAAAATGCTGAGATTATAGTTAGTTAAGAGAATAGTGAAGATGTATATAAAAGTGTATAATGAACTGTATTTTTTTTGTGTTCCATTGTGAATATATGAATTTTGAAACATCCTGTATATACGTATATATTATAGTTTGCCGACTACTGTCGAATAACTAATTTATTTCATGTTGCACACATTTCCCGTCCATAATTTATGTGCAATCCATTACTTTTTGTGCAATTATAGACTCTGAAAGAGGATTTTAGTGACTTTAGTTTCGTTTCTAGGTAAACTTCGTTGCTAATCAGTTCGCGAAAGAGAATGTGTATAAACTGAGTTAATAAATTTTTGTTTTTTATTTGGTCTATTTACTTTCTTTCTTCCTTATCCACATTTTACATTTTTTTTAGGTACCTATCCTACAGCTATAAGCATCGACTTGTTGAGTTGTTCCCTATATTCATAATAACTTCCAAGAATGCCGTAGAATATTGAATGCAATCATTTTCTGTAGGTATACCAATCAGTAAACGAATTTCAAACAATCACCCAGTTCATTATTAAAAATTTCTTTGGAATCAATTTGATATCGGCTGAAATTTATGAAACAACTGATTCATATTCGAAATGCCGCAAGAAACGTTGAAAAATCAGCTTGGTGCAAAGATGATTTCCTTTTTCTCCATCAGAATAATACAACTATTATCAACAAATGTGAATATACAGGAAGTTTGTTAATATGTTGAAAACAATAAAAGTAGGTACGAACTCGTGATCAAACATTGGAGTATTCCACAGACATATACGAATACAGACAATTATTCATATTTGATGCAATCAACATGAGCTCACATTGGATCGGAATGCCTATCTTATTTAATATTTGGGAAATCCAAAATTTTCAATTTTCCACCATACAAAATCTAAATGAGAATAAAATCTTTTCTAACTCAAAATTGAGGTACCTAATGCTTTATGGTATAGTATAATTATTGTACATGATAGAATGTAAATTACGCCTTTGCACTGTATTATCCTCTTGCTAAATATGAAAAAGAAATAAAAAATTTCGAAAATATACATGCCCAGGATGTGTTTTGAATAATTTTTGTTCCAATCCAGATCTGGATATTTCCTGCCTAGTACGTTAGTGGCCAAGTGGCCAACTGGATTCATACTCACTGACGCTGGGAGCTAACTATTACGATGCCGCCGCGCCGCCGCCAAATATTGAATTTTGATTGTCAGTTTCAAAATTAAAAGTACCTGTTCACTGCTTTGTTTTCCGCAGCATATGACAATAACATAAAATCATTATGTATAACAAATGGAATCATATATACTTCACACCTTGAACCAAACAACAAATATAATTTTTTTCAGATAAATACTTTTTTTAATATTTCAGTTTTTTTATCGCTTTGTGCGCTCTGGTTTCTGGTTTTGGTCATTGTTTAGACGAATCACGAAATTACCCCAACTGATGAGTAAAATGCAGCTTCTTTATCTTCATCAAATAAAAGTATGTACATCCGTCTTCAGTGATCATGTCAGCGCTCTTGTTGCAGGAGTTATTAAGTATCATCGTCCATGTGCGACATGTTTTCTGAAGACGACTGTACCGCAGCCGCTTTTGTATTGTAGCGCACAAGGCACAGCTGATGCTTCATTGAATGGCGATGAGTAAAGAGGCGGCATATAAAAAGCAAGAAGCAATATAATATTCTAACTGCTTGCTTTTTCTCATTTTCACTAGCGCCTCTTAATATACACTGCCGAGGACTGATAGTTCTATCCTCCCCTCCTGAATCCGGCACTGCAGCTTGGTTTATTATTGGTATCTGGTCCATTGTTCAAGACGGCAACAAATTAACAAGGATCTTCAGTAAAAATGAAAAAGTAATAAAAATCGGTTAATCTTCATCTAGTTGACGTATTTCAACATAATATATCTCATACCAAACTGGCTAAGAATTTGATAATTTTCTATCGATTTATATGCTGAAAAAACGTAATACTCTTTCCGCAAATCTACGAAATATCTTCGAAAAATTTACATAAATTAATTCTGTTATCAACTAAACAACAATAATATTTCCATAAGAGTTTTGTTTTGGTCATCTAAATATTAAATATCAGTACCTCCATAAAATAAATATGGAGTTGACCAACAAAAAAACTATTCAAAAAATATACTATATGTGCTTTCAAAAACTTCAAATGAAAAACGGTAGAGTTGTGTGGAAATTGACAATTATGTGTTAGGAAATTTATAAATATGGAAATCTAAAGAAATGGAGTTTATGTCAATGGGATTGGTGTCCATGGAGTTGGTCTTCTATAGGAATATCCACACTGCTTTAAACCGAACCTACTGGATTATTAAAAAAATCTGAATGGATTCAGTCCATATTTGTTATCACATGGAGTTGATTGTTAATAAAAATACTCACCTTGTTTTTCAACTTCATTGTCTCCAGGATCCCAAATAACTTGCCTAAATATAATCTTTTTTCCTAACAAACTTCAACTAACTGCTCTTGCTTGAAATTATGAAATCTCGAAACATTAGGTACTTGAGGCAGCTTTTTTACAATAAAATTCAAAACTTCTTCTTTGCTTACACTCTCGTTATTGTTGTATTACTTAGGGTCATATTTACCTACTAAAGAATAGTTTCATTACATTTTGTTTAGGGGTTTATGATCGATTTCACTTAACCATATGGCAGGTAGTTACAGTCCATGTATAGGTGAATTCAGAGGTGTTTCTGCTTATAAAAATGGAAAAATATATGATTTTCTTCGTTCTTTTTTAATTCATGTGAAGCATCTTCTTCAATGTTTTTCGAACTTCAATCATTTTGCTATATAATTTTCACCCACTAGTTACGTTGTATTGTCTCCTATTTGAAGAATGACCCATCTACCAAAAATTGATGCGAACCAGACTGAAATAGTATGATGACCAATAGGGTAAAAAAGCATTGGTATATCCTTGGCACGCCTCGACATGAGTGCCAATTTGGCCTACCTCCAAAATAATTATCAAAACAGAATCAATTTGCTGAAATAAGAAAACCGAAGATACATGGTGTAAACGGGTCCATGACACTTCGCTCAATGAAGAATGAGTCACCGAATGGACAAGTCATAACACCGAAATATATCTATCGGAGGACACATTGCCGAAAATGGTGATCATGCCGAAAAACGACAATGGCAAAATGGCCGAAAGTGGTCATGCTGCGTTGTCAAAACTTTTTGAACAATGCTGCATATATCGGGAATGCGCCGTCGAAACCGAAAGCTCGCAATTTCGCTTGAATTGTGGTATTACGTCGGAACAGCTCCTCGCATATTTTGCTGAAAGCGGCCGAATTACCGAAAGAACTTTTTAGACACATCGCTGGAATTGGTCATAACACCGAAACAACGTTTTGGGCATTCCGCCGAAAATTGGTCAAATTGCCAGAATAATTCTCTGGGCACAACACCGAAAGTGGTCGTAACGCCGAAACGGTTCTCCTTATACATATTCACTTGTAGCTACTGAAACGATTGCATGCTATATCGAATCTAAACAAGAGTAATATTTTCAATTGGAATTTTGGAGGTTTCTTTATTTCCTGGTCAAACCACCAAAAAATGCATAAAGAAAAGTAAGGCAAAGAAGTACCCTTATACAAGGTGAAAATTCCTACTGAGTGAAGCTTTTCTTCAAAATAGAAATGAAAATTTGTTTCATCAAGAACTCAAATTTGTGTACATGATTTCTCAAATATATTTCATATTTCAGAAACATTTTGTGTATGTATAATTCAAAGGGTAGCTATAAAATGGCTACATACAATCCGGTGTGGACCTGGATTGACACAAAGTGTGTGGACCTGGAGTTAAAATCAACTCAAAATTGTTTACCATGCTGCCTCTCCTATTGATATTATGTTTTCAATATTTTCAATTGTAATGTTAGTTAAATGAGCAAAATTTGATTATTTCAACACAGAAGGTTTCGAAAATTTACAAAAAACCTCGGGCTCGCCTGCAGATGGCTGCTGGACAGTTAAGTACTTACTGCAATTTGTCGATAATTGATAATTTTACTTTTATCTCCTTTATTGAAAATCGTTTTTACTCATGTTTGATTGAATTACTTAGGAAAAATGCCCGTTTCCAGCGAATTATTATATATTAAAATAAGTCGTGGATATATTAAGAAATCCTTGCACGCTTTGAAGATGTAACAGGACCCGACGATCTCTTCGGTTTTAATTTTTTGAACGCTTTCTCAATGTCTTCTAGAGTTATTCGGTCAAAGTGGATGTTTTGATAGAAACTGAAAGGAATGTACTTTGCTTTATTATCGATCTCGGGTGTATCATAGGTATAGAATCATTCTCGCATGTTGAACTAAAGTAATCTGCAAACTCTCCCGCAATAATTTTTTTCTCAGTAACTTCTATATTCTTTACTATGTAACACGGTTCGAACGTTTTTTTTTTCTGTCTTCTATCTTTGACAAGGTTTCAAAATAACGAAGGATCAGGATCCCTTATGTGCTCTCCTGACTTTCACTTTAAGTTCAGCGCTAACTCTTTTGTAGTTATTTAAATAAAACTCCGAGTCATTTTTCTTTAGTCTGAAGTACTCTTCCACCTTCATATCACCTCTTATATCATCTGTGAACCAGGGTGGGTATATTTTACGATAATGATTATTTGCTCTGCTAGTAATTTTAGGCACTGAGATATCAAGAATTCCGAAGAGAACTTGATACAAGCAGTTGACACTATCATTAACACTTTCGAGATTATTAAGCATTGACCAGTCCTGATCTCTCAACATTTCGTACAGCAGTCTGAAATTGGATTTCTTAAAATTGAACATGTTATCTAGATTTTTTGTTTCACCACAATTTCTATTATTTTTTGTAAAAGTGCCGGATGATACTGTGTATCTATTTTGATTAATGGCGCCGTGTCTTTCTCCACTCTCACGTTGAAATTGCTCAAGACCAAATCCAGGGTCCTATTGTCTTCGTTCAGTATATGTTATTATAAGAAGTCAAACTAGAAGTTTTCATCAACAATGTGATGTTGTCTACTATATCATTCTTATCATTGAATTCAAATGAGGTTCCATTGATTCCCTGTATGTTATAGTCACCAAGAAGTGAAATTAGATTATTTGGTCCGGTATAAGCGACAATCTTTATATACAATTGTCCACTATATCTGTTTCTATATAGAATCTGCAGTTGAAATCATTTTATGTAATTTCGGGACTCCCTGTATGAAAACAACCTATATTCGGCGAAATGTCTAAAAAACTGTTTCGACGTTATAACCATTTTTGG